TAGCGGAAAGGAATACTAACAAACTACACAGTATGAAAAAACTGGCTTTGAAACAATTTTCACTCAGAAATTGCTAATAAATTTGACAAATAATTATAAAGAAACAGCAAGTAATGCTGAAATAAACGTGAAGGACAACGTCAAACATACATAATTAATATAATGCATAATTATAATTTTTTTCAAAGTTTAGGCTATAGACATATATATATATATATGCATATAGACAATATGCAATATGGAACAGAAATTCTGTCAAATGATACTTTTCACTGTTGTCACATAACCTTATATTTAATTGAGTCAGTGGCATCTTGTTATCATTGGTTTGAATAGTCATTTCGCAATTTTAATCTACTTCTGGGTAAAAATGTTTTAACTCTTTAAAGCATGCCAATGAGTCAATAAAGTGATGCTGAAACAGTGCTGTTATTGTTAGTTAAATCAGCAACTGTAATGAAGAATAAATACTTTAAAATATTAAGAAAACCTAAATTAAAATATAAATATTAGAAAAGCGAAAATTCGAAATGTTGCCTTGGCAAATAAAGTAAGTTGAAGTAAAATTATTAAAACAGAAAATAAGGCTACAAAAAAATGACAAAAGCACAAAATTACTTAAACAATAACAACAACAATTACTCTTTAAAGCATGCCAATGAGTCAATAAAGTGATGCTGAAACAGTGCTGTTATTGTTAGTTAAATCAGCAACTGTAATGAAGAATAAATACTTTAAAATATTAAGAAAACCTAAATTAAAATATAAATATTAGAAAAGCGAAAATTCGAAATGTTGCCTTGGCAAATAAAGTTGAAGTAAAATTATTAAAACAGAAAATAAGGCTACAAAAAAATGACAAAAGCACAAAATTACTTAAACAACAACAACAACAATTAACAGCTTAATCAAACTATAATAAACACTATAATAGTATAAAATACTAAAGTACTGGTTAAAAACCTTGACCGATGTGTCTGGTTTATTTGCCACACTAGAATGGAAGTTCAGTTTCATACATACATGCATAAATGCATGCATGCATGCATGCATACAACTGGGAGGGAAAAAAAAGTAGGACTTGTGAGTTTGGATAAGCCATGCCATGTCTCAATCCCATTTCCTTTCTCTTTCCATAACTCCCTGTCCACTCCGAGCTGACAGAACACTGAAAAGTTATAGCCTCAAAACTCAAATCGAACCTAAAGATGAATGCACTTTAAAACACACTGAGAGTTTTCTGTACTTTTTCTTCTAGAGGGTGAAAAATCTAATGCAATGAAATGGAGGGAATTGGAGCAAGTCTCTCTGCAGTGAACACACGTCCCTGCATGTGCCGGCCCTGACGCCCAACTCAATCCATCATTACTACACTAAATCATCTCTCTGTCAGTAACACCACTGCAAAATATTACAGTCATGTGGATACTGTTATTTTTAATGACATTCAGCAGTCCCCTTGGGCTGATGGAGCGAGTGAGAAATACAGAGAGGGAGAGAGACTGCATAGGTAGGCAATAACATTTGGCAGAAAAGTGCTTAGCAGCTTGAAAAGAGTCAAGAGCGAGCGAGCAGTGGAAGTGTTAAATACTAAAGGAAGACTGCTATCTCCATGACAGATAATTGCTCGTTTGTTCAGTCGAAAATGTTTTAAGGATCTATGAAAGATCTTTGAGATTCTGGGAAAACATGCAGGAATGGGAAGAAGTTTCCAGTAAGCTGGCGATTCCAACTCCATCATCTAATTGCTCAGTTAATATTAGAATAGGTTTTTGACGCTCTCATTTATTACGAGAGCTCAATGCAACCTGGACTTCTGAGTGTGTGAATGTGTGTGTGGTCTGATATCAATGTCACGCCTCCTCAATAACTCAGACAGGGCAGTGTGCTTATCTTTCTTTGACACTCAGATCAATCTTGCTTTTAATCCTGAACCCATTCGCAGTCTTTCTCACCTCAACTCCACACATCAAACACAAACATCACATCCCTCCTGTGAATGTGCGTGTCTGTGTCCAATCGAGTCAAGGACACAGGATGGGGGTGGCTGATCTTCCAGAATCCACATTATACACTTCATATAGGTAGTAAGCAGTGCTGGGTGATGTTAAATGCTCTTAGAATTTTCATAGAATTATAGTGTGAATAGACTGATATGCTGAGAATATATATGAATATACGGTGAATTCAAATTCGACGTGTTTTGGTTTCAGATTATCTATTATATTGTTTTATATGAGAAAATAGGAGGAGGCAAGGGAGGCAGTGGCTTCTCAAAATATTGGATAAGAAAAAAAATTATAGTACAAAAATAAAACAACACCAATATTACAAAATATAACAATAAAAGGTGTATAAATCACTTTTTTTTTCTAAAGAAACATTTCCCAACAGCGACACCAGCAGATAAAGTTACAGAGGTAATCCGCATCTCACTCATCCCTGAATTTTAACAGACCGCATAAAGTGTGGGGTAAGTTTAGTGGGGGGTATTTGAGAATGAATGGGGGAAAGTCACGTGAGAGGAGGCAATGCCTCATTCGCGATATGATTGGATATGACTGGTTATGTTCAGCTGTGATTGGTTCATGCCATAAATCCCGCCTCTTGTGTTCATGCGTTTCCCACATTCGCGAATCAGTCTGAATGAACCATATAATGTTGTTAATGGGAAGACTAATTGAAAAAAGTAGGTAAACAACTCACACTTAGATATAACCACTTTGTTACGTCAAAAAAAAAAAAAAAAAGACTTAAGATGGCATGAAAACATGATCTGTGGGAGTTTTTGGTGAATAATCAGCTTGGTGAAATTTAAAGTAAATCTCAGTGTCTGCGACCAATATTTACCGAGCATTGATGACCCGAAAAAATAGTTAAAATGTTAACTATTAAAAATAATAGCTGAACATAAGTTCACAAATACAGTGTCCTCCACTAATATCGGCACCCTTGGTAAATATGAGCAAAGGCGGCTGTGAAAATGAATCCGCATCGTTGACCTTTTTGATGTTTCATTCAAATAATTCACCAAAATTCTAAGATTCATTGAAGTAAAAAATTTGAAAGTGGAGAGAAAATCTCATGATGAAATGTTTTTCTCCAATGCATGTTGGCTACAATTATTGGCACCCCTAGAAATTCTTATGAGTAAAATATCTCTGAAGTATATTCCCATTCATATTTAAATTTTTAGCACCAGGGTGACTAGGAGCATGAAATTGTCCAGCCATGACTTCCTGTTCCACAGGATTATAAATATGAGGAGTACAAAGGCCAAATTTCCTTAATCACCCATCAAAAGGAGTAAAACCAAACAATATAGTTCTGATGTGCAGAACGAGATTGTTGAGCTTCATAAAATAGAAAGTGGTTGTAAGAAAAGAGCTAAAGCATCGAAAATCCCCATTTCCACCATCAGGGCAATAATTAAGACGTTCCAATCAACTAAAAATGTTACAAATCTGCCTGGAAGAGGACATGTGTCTATAACGTCCTAATACACGGTGAGGAGGAGTGTTTGAGTGGCCAAAGACTCTCCAAGGACCACAGCTGGAGAACTGCAGTTTAGTTGAGTCTTGGAGTCAGAAAGCCTAAAAAAAAATATCAAACATCCCCTACATCACCACATGTTGCTCGGGAGGGTTTCAAGAAAAACTTTGCTCGCTCATCCAAAAACAAACTCCAGCATATTCAGTTGTCAAACACGACTGGAACTTCAAATGGCACACCATGATGATCAGATGTTCTCCAAACTCTTCAGGCATTATAGGAGAAAACTCAGAGCTGTTATCTTGGGGTAAAGACGTTGCAATAATTGGGTGCCAATAACTGTGGCCAACGTGAACTAGAGAAAGCATTTATTTCACAATGAGATTTACCCCCCTACATTCAATTGCCTTACTTCAATGATAGGTTAGAATTTTGTGAATTTTTTGAATGAAAGATCAAAAGGATAAACAATGCAGATTTATTTTCACAGCCGCCTTTGCTCATATTTACCAAGGGTGCCAATATTAGTGCAGGGCAAGGTATAATATATTGTTTAAACCGTTACTGCCTTGAGTTATTTTAATACAGTAAATGTAAAATGCTTAAAAACGCTGTTGCTTAAAGATAGATCTATCTATCTCTCTTAGACATGATATATATAAATATAACCATTCTAAAGTTTGAGGTCACAAAGATTTATTTATTCTTAAAACTTGTCTACGTTATAGTATCAATTCAAGATTTTTTGTGTGAAAAAGAAACAGCTCACACTGAGAGGGTTTGTTTGTAGAATAAAAGTCTGAATTTATTCTGTTGATCTGTACATTGAACAAGAGTACTCAGACTGCAGCACACACACGCATACATACACGCGCGCGCGCGCACACACACACACACACACACACGACTGATGTTAACCGGCGAAACCAGCTGTGCACAGGTGAGGAGTGCAACTGGTTCACGTGGAAACATTTGATTTCGCTTTCCATTGTCTTTCTATCCTTGTTCTCTGTTTGAGTCCCAGTGGAGTCAGACTCAAGGTGCAGTGAGGCCAAGTTTAGCTGAAATTAAGCTGGGTTCAGCCTAAAAACACAGTATGAATAAAAATTCTCCACTGAGAGTCCTTTTAGTCCAGGCTTAGGCTTGATCTGTGTGCAAGTAAAGCAGACCTAACGTATGGGGAACAGGGACTGTTGTGAGAAAGAAGATCCCGCTGACAGCAGCCCTCGCTGACTCCGTGGTAAAACCAATACTAACCAGTATGTGACCATATCAAAAGACTCCGTGGTAAAACCAATACTAACCAGTATGTGACCATATCAAAAGAAAATACCCACAAACGCAGACCTGAAAGAGAGCATGTTCACAGTTATTTCATCCGGCATTCTCCATCAGCGACTTTCCCGAAAAATATTGATTAATACATACATACATACATATATATATATATATATATATAGGTTTCTAGATATTTATTCAGCAGCAAGAATGAAGAGATGACAGACATGATAAAGACACAAAAAGTTAAATGAAAATGCAAAATGTTCAGATTTAAATGCAATACGATCAATTCCCGAACTCACTCTCTGGTCTTGAGGTCAGTTCATGAAGCCCATGACATATTCGCTTCACATGACACACAATCATCAAAAACGTCTTGACAGGAAAGTGTTCGCTAACAAAATCCCACAGTTTGCCTTCAGTTGTCACGTTAAACACTCTAAATGAATCAACTGTCTGTATTAATAAAAAATGTCATGGAAACATGCGACTGATTGTATTTTCGTAGACAGACTAATTTACGTTCTGCTGAGCGTCAGGCGCTCAACACACCCGTATTTCTGAGACCGCTTTCGCTGAACTGAAATGCAAATTGGAGGCTTTGTTCCCAAACAGTTCTTAATGACAACAACAAAGAGTTTCTTTGGGAGGGAACCACTTTGGTAAGTTAAGAAAACACCCTACAGTTAACGTACTGCAAAATATCATCCCCACCACCACCAAATGTAAGACTACCATGTTAGCTGCACTGTATTTCTACAGTGGGATTGACTTTCACATTAACTGCTGAGGACCACATTGCTGTGTGAGTCAACTGCCCAGTAATATTTAGGTAGATGGTTTGGATTATCAGGTTTCTTACTCCAGCATCAGGTTTGTATTGTACAATAAAGACAAGGTTATATGGCCACGGAAAGATCCTGCGTGCACGGTTTTAATAGTCTGTTAATTTGGAACGGAGTACGTGAGGTAATTTGTTAGAGAGGTATGTCTTACTCGAAATATGAAAAACTAAATTTTTACGACATGCCGGATGCAATTCCTAAGATTCTTTAATCTGATGCTTTATTTTTATCCCAAAATTCCTGCTGCTATAAAATGAACATTAACCAGTTTAATTCATGCAAAGCGGAACGACCTCCAGAAAAGTAGAAAAATTAGCACCATCTGAGGTAAGTGACACAGATTAGACAACCCATGCCTGCTGTAGCACCATCAATGGGATAAAAATGTAATTACTGCAAGTAAACGCCATCTACTGCCACAGAAACATTAACACAGTTGTTAAGGGAGTAAAATACGACATCTGACATGAATCTATACCATACAGACTGATATATATCTCTGAACGAGGTACGAGGGTGGCGAGACTGTCTTAGGAACACAGACGATGAGCAGCAATGAGGTAGGACTGTGACTCTACATGCTTGTTTTCAGACTAAGAATAACCTGAACTTGTGTTTTATCAAAAATAAATTTCTTTCACTAGTAGAGCTGAGAATATTGGTTGTTAAATAAGACTGACTCTGAGTAGGGTCCTTTATTGTAATCGTGAGCATGAAAAAAGTGTGAGCGCAACAGGAAGTTGCCGTTCTTGCTATAGCGGAATACTGGGCAGTTTTGGGAATTGCTGTGGCATGTGGGCAGGTCCTCAGCATTTGATTGACAATCTCAGAATGTAGGTTAGTGAAACAGGCCAAAGCAATACTAACTATTTTTTCCCCCAAGAACGTCCGCATATTACTTTTTTTGGCATCATAAAGGAACAAAAAAACAAAAACAAATGATTTAAGATTTTTCAAATTGAACAATACAGCCATATCCATTATCTAAAGCTTAATGCTCTTTTGATACAAAACAGAAAACAACATAAATCAGACAACGGAGATAGGAAAAATATATTCCGGCTGTTACTTTCTTGTTGGTTTAGCTTAGATAACTGTGGACAACCTTAGCAGGGCCCGTTTTTGTGCAAGTTCATATTCATAAGACTGATCACAAACTGTCCGTTGCTGAGAATTTGGCTTATTTTTAACAGAACGACACAAACACAAATTCAGATTGGACGAAACTCATTTGACATGACAAAACGTCTCCTGGACAATACGCCGAGAACAAAATGTTGATCCCTCACGTGCTTTGCACCGGGACTTGCCATTTTCCAGAGGTGGCACAGACCAGCTCAAAGCTAAGCACTGCTATTACACAACCACTGAAAGCATAGGCACCAGCCTCACCACAGTCTCCCAGAAGAGAAAAACACAGCCTCCGCGAGGCTACTGCTTCGCTTTTGTAGCCTTTTAGCCTATAAATACTGTACATGATTGTATTTAAAAGTCGGATTTTCCCTGATGGGATTCACGTGTTTGATCTCACAACTGAAGAAACTTTTAATTTTTAATTTTCCTCGGATCTTAATGCCGCCGTGCCCGAATTTAGTCTCGGCGCAGCTGCGAGGCAAAAAAAAAAGAAAGAAAGAAAGCATAAGAGCAATAAATTATGCTGTAGTCTTTTTCAAGGCAACGATTCCCCTAGCAAATCTCCAGATAAAAAGTATGACCACATGGACCGATGATAAAGTTTGGCTGTCATTCAACCTCTGCACACCTAAAGCTGTCATTTTCCAGTATACCCGCACAGTACGTACGCTCATTATGGAACATCAAATATTCAATAAGTGTGGCAATACATATCACACAATACAGGAAATATCTACAGAAAAAAAGAAGAGAAAGACATTCAGTGGAACAAAAGAACCTTAGTACAATCTGTTCTCTCCCGTAATTACCTTGACATATTGGAGGTACGTCGCTGTAAGAAAGAAAAAAGGAATCGCTTTCACAGGCTCGAGAGAATGAGAAACAAATGGCTGCTAAACTGCTATTGAGTGGCAGAAAACTGATAGCTGATTTATGATTTCTCGTGAACGTCTTTTCACAAGCATTGTTAAATGTTTATGTTGACTTCTTTTTTTTTTTTTAATTGGCTTGGGTAAATCACAACAAAGAAGCCAACATTGATGGATTTTTATACGTTTTTTTTTCCTCCTTAGGATTAAAGTGCTACGTTGTCGAAGATGGACAATGACTTCCTCGGAACGGAAAGGCGGGCGACGGCTGCCTCTCGACGGAAATGACTCCAAATGAAATGATATTCCGTAACAAATGACTCACAGTGAGGTGAAATTCATAAATTGAAGTTCTTGAAGCATCAAGATACCTGCGGTAAAAAAATCCATGATAGTATCAATTTAAGATATGGGTTTCTGTCATTAGAGATGATGTATTCGTGAAGAGCCCTGCATTCTTTGAGAAATATGAGTACCCAGGATCTACGTTAATAGCGAAATGTCACATATACACTGTAATGATTAGAAACTATATAAGAACCAGCAAAGATAAAGACAGAATTACAACATTGTCTGACTCGCTTTTGAACCAGAAGCTTAGTGAGATAAGGTGCAGCCTGGATGCAAACGATGACATGTTCAAAAACATGAGAATATATTCCAAATATACACTGAAATTTTCTCCCCACTAATAAATGTACTTGATTAAAACAACAAAATAAAACAAATATGAGAAAATAAAAAAATAGGGAGGCTTTTGCGTGGCAGATCTGTGATCTGTTAATTCACAGTAAGCGATATGGCATCACAGTCAAGAACCCAAATCTGCAAGAGGGTCTTTTTTCTATCGTTACGCCGACAAGCCAGTGCCACACAGACTGTTTGTGATGACAAAGGACTAAAGTGTGGATGGCATGGCTCATTGTAAGTTGTCACGATATCTTATTTCCTCCCCTAATGAGTGCGCCCTCTACAGGTGGGCTGGAGCAGAGACCCTGCTGTTGGTGCGACCAGAAGGATGAGGCTAATGTGTAACTCCCGAGCACTGCTGACAGTTTTACCCCACGTCTGCACACGGCGCCTGGCATCTCTCCACACTCACACCAAAGTGCAGTTAAAGCAATATCAGCTCATATTACAATCACAGCTTGCTATAAAACGGAGAACACAGTTCCCAATGATTGCCAGCTGGAAAAAGGCCTAGCTCAGATTTCCACTTACCCTCCGTCCCAAGTGCAATTTACGGCTGGTAAAAGGTCTTAGGTGGTCTCCATCTCTGTAGACCCGATAATACAATAACTCCTGTCCCATGGCTAGTCCATCAAGTATACTGAAATCAAATTGGATGTGCTCTTGTTGTTTACAAGAATCTTATTTTATACTTTACGTCATTTTTACTGCATTGTTATCAACTCTGGTGCTTTTGTACACAACAAGACATCTGCAATAATAAGAATTCAAAAAATATGGCATTAAATACTCTCTTCAGAGTTGAATCAGATGAAATGTAAAGAGAAATCTGAATTACTGGTGGGTATTTCTTCAGGCCCCAAATTTTACTCAAATTAATTTGTTTTGTTAGAATATACACTGCTATTCAAAGGCCGATAAGATTTTTTAAAAAGAAATTAATACTTTTATTCAAAAGACTTGTATTTTAAATAAATGTCATTATTTTGAACTTTCTATTCATCAATGAATTCTGAAAAAAGTATCAGTTTTCACAAAACTATTAAGTGCCACAATTGTTATTAATATTGTTAACAGTAAAAACTGTTTCTTGAGCACCAAATCATCATATTAGAATGATTTCTGAATGATCATGTGACACTGAAGACTGCAGTAATGGCTGAAGAAAATTCAGCTTTGCCATCACAGGAATTAATGACATTTTAAAAAGTATTAAAAAAAACAAACACTTATTTCAAATTTGTAATAATATTTCAGAAATTTACCGTTTTATTCTTTCAAAAACATTTAAAAAATCTTACCGACCCCAAACTTTTGAACAGTAGTGTAAATGACTTGAAAACGCGTCATCGTAATTACAACTTTTAAACCACAGGAACTTCCCAACAGGACTTGAAGGCAGTATACAGCCTAAAACAAACATAAGAAGTCTACTGATGATCGTAAAAAGTCTAAATGTAACTTTTAAGAATGATTTGTTCACCTTTTTGTGGCTTATCTCCAAACACACGCTGCTATGACTACATGCGACCTCTCCACCCCTAACAACCATCAAGAACAACAACAGACCATCAGTAGTCATCTCAGGAAAGCAATTAAGCCTAGATTGATTAATTAAATCAATCGTTCATTAAGACGACGCAGGGTGTGACCCTGTTTAAAAGTGCAACTCTTTATGTTAAGTACCTTTAGCAGATGGTCCCTGTGAAGTGACCTACCTCCCCTTAAGACTCCGACTCTAAGCCAGCATTTATGACACCTCGCAAACATCCTCCTGAAACAAGAAGACTTCTCCTGAAGGGAAACCTCTTTAGTACATTAGGACATGTTCTGACACAGAACACAAGCTGATGTGCCAAACACATTTTTCTCGCACACGATTTAAAGGATCGCTCCTGTCTATCAGGCATAATATCCGACCCACCCCGAGATCCCCCGTCAAAGCTTAAAAAAACCCACCCCATTCACTCACAGAATGCACACCAGCATGCTAAGGCTGTGCGGAGAGAGGTAAAACTGTCATACAGGCTGTAAAACAGGGTCTACGAGAGTAAGAGACAGAGAGGTCTTGGGAGGGCATCAGTGGAAATCTCAATTGGCAGCGCCGGTGAATACATGCACCTTCTCCACCAGAAGTCCTTGAGGAGTAGAATGAGCTATGGTGACAACTTCAGCGCCCCCTACAGACCGTCATAGGGGAAGTTCTCCATCTTCACCGTCTGCTGGATGAGAAGCTTGGACTCTCGCCGCTCCTCGTTCTTGATAGATTTGTTGATATCCATGATCTTTTCGCAGATGTATTTGTTCACTTTGGATAATCGCTGGGTGATCTCTGCACTGTCAGCTGTTTCTTGAGACACACGGTCGTACAGACACTCTGGAATGAAATAGTAGACTAGAAATTAGCAAAGAAAACAGAAAAAAATGCCTTGTAATTTGATGTTTTTTCCCCCATATGAGACACACGGTCGTACAGACACTCTGGAATGAAATAGTAGACTAGAAATTAGCAAAGAAAACAGAAAAAAAATGCCTTGTAATTTGATGTTTTTTTCCCCATACATTTTAAAAATATTTAAGTTTAACTTCTTTAAATGAAGTTTTAAGTACGATATTAGTTGTTTCTATGAAATTGTTTTGGAAGCTAAAATTTGTTCTACAATAACAATTCTCCAAACTTGTATCAGCAGAACTAGAAATATAACCCCAACCTAATTTTAATAACAAATCTTTTTAAAGACGGTATGTTTACCTCGAACAATTTTGAGCTTGCTCGGTGAAAGCGGTGGTTTGGGCAGGGCGTCTTTCTTCTTCTTCGTAGCGACGCCAGTCACGCTGCGGTTCTTCAGGGTTTCTGTGCCCCAGATCATCACCGCCAGGTTTTTGGTGAATTTTGAGTCTCCCTGTGTCCGTTGTAGCTGGTGCCACTTCTCCTCCTCCACCCAAATCCCTCCACCCAAGTGCACCTGCAAGAGACAGACTCTTCTTCAAATATGCAGCATACACACACTGTCACTGACAAGATTTTGCTTTCACATTCTGCCACTTCAGTGCCATGTGGTCTATTCCCCGAAGTGTGTCTGAGACATGGTAGCTTTCCCTTCACAATGAATTAAACAGCTCTGTTTATGGAGGATGAAATGCAAGATTCTATGTGATTCAGATTTAAGCTTGTTAACAGCTGTTTGTGTTGCATGTAGTACAGTTGTGCTCCTAAGTTTACATAAACCTTGCTGATCCTGAAAAAAAAAAAAAAAATCTAAATCATATAAAATTGTTGTTTTTATTTAGTACTGCCCTGAGCACCTACCTACCTATCTACAGACAGACAGACAGACAGACAGACAGATAGATAGATAGATAGATAGATAGATACTTGAGGAGGGCACAAGTAATATAAACCAAATCTGTCAATGTTTGAACAGAATTCAAACAAACTAAACCAATAAATAAACAATGCATTTTTAATGCTCTCTATTAATTTAAATAGATAAATACATGTAAAAAAACTTTTGACCAATGAATTTCCATGACCTTTCTAGGTGTTTTGCAAGCCAGGTTTTACTCTACTCAGGAGCGATAATTAGCTGATGAAATATTTTAGAGCAAAGCAGAACCAGAAAATATCTATTTATTATAGAAATTACTTTGACAAATTTTCCATGACTGTAGGAACCCTGTCCAGTGAAGGTCCTTGGGTTTTGTGGTATGCAACGACACTAAACCCTTCCGCATACCCTCTGAGATCTAGGGACCGATCACCACATACGAGAGACGCGTCACACTTAAATTCAGTGGCGAGGTGTCTGGGTTCATTAAATGCAGTAATGTGTTTTGACAGATGCCAGACCAGAGTGTTGACTTTTAAGCCACACTGTGGAGGACACAGCCCAACAAGCCATCAAGTGGATTGATGGGCAGCTGGTGAGTAACAGCTGAGGTAATGTGCCTTCTGCTTTGTCACCCTGAGCAGTCTTCAGGCTCGGATCCAGTGGCTTTTCCCCAATGCAACTAATGTGCTTTAGGCCCTGGTCCAGCAGACAAGCTTTCACTGCTCTTAACTTAGAGGAGATTTGCTTTTCTACGGCTACCTGTCACTCAGGGCAATTCCTGTGGTACAAATAATTAATGCCGGATATGTGTGCGTATGTGTAAGGGCCTAATTTGCTTTTGTTCTTCACGCTTGAACTGAGAACCCTTTCAGCATGTAACACAAATTCCCCCCTGTCATGCAAGGCAGTAGGAGGAACGCAAAATGCGGACCCGATGTCTGCTAACAGGGCTCAAAATCACAGCAAGCGTTCTGGTTAAAAGGCCCTTTGAGACTGATGGGGGGATGGTTGTAGAAGGGATTTCGGGAGTCAATTAGACAAACCATACACCACTGCAAAACATTAAAAGAAACACTGAATTGCGCTAACACAAGGAGCATCGGCAAAATCACTGAATTGTGTTGTTTATACAACAGTTAAACGAGTAGCTAATGACCGAAGTCAAGTCACATTTCTTCCATGAATAATGTTTGAATCTATCCAATAAAAATCAAGATGACCATAACTTTGGAAGGTCTCATCACAATTGACATGCTGTTATTTAATAAATATATAGAATGAGGTGTTAGATATACATAATATATACTACCGTTCAAAAGTTTGGGGTCAGTAAGATGTTGAAAACACTTGTGCTGCTTAATATTTATGGTGATACGGTGAACATTTTTTCAGAATTTTTTATGTAAAAGAACAGCTGAAATAGAAATCTTTTGTAAGATTTCGTAAAAATTGTAACGGTCACTTTTGATCAACTTAACGCATCTTTGGTGAATAAAAGGTATTATTAATTTCTTTAAAAAACGACCAAAAAAGTACCAACTTTTAAATGGTAGTGTATATAATTTTAAATATGTGGCTTTTCTGCTAAAAAGGCTAGAATAAAGTAAGACTGGGTGTCATACATTTTTGGGATGTTTGAAAAAGACAGTAAAAACACACACAGGACTACATACTTTTCCATCATTGAAGGTGTAGACGGTTCTCGGGGATGGGGAGTGGGTGGAGCTAGTGTTGGCTTCCTCTTGACACACCTCCTGTGGTTCACTGATCGGCTCCACCACCTCTGCTTTGATTGTCTGTGTGCCATTGTCATGCATCGGCTCTGTATGAAGCAAAGCAAAACACTGCTCACCATTCAGTGAAGCACAATTTAACAGGAGAAAGATGAGTGTAATCCTGAGAAAGTGTTGACGGCAGAAGTTCCCTGCTCTCTAATGACAGTTTTGAATTCAGTCCAGTGTGGCCGCAGTAAGTCCTGGCCCGCCCCCTTTGGAGTGCTGCCTGAAACATGGCTCTCCCGTGCCTCAAGACAACCAGGTAATTTTAGCTCAGTAAGCTGGCTTGGTGGCTGGCCGCACTAAGCTCTAATGTATCTGTTGAGTTTTAATATCGGTCAGTGCACTGCACGTCTGACCCTAAAGAACCCTGTCCGGTCTAATCTTCAGCCTGCTCCACCAGCTCGCTCCAGACCACAGTCTGTTCCCCCCCAAGCACACACACAGACAGGCGCAGCAGCTGGCCGGGATACTGGCCTGAGCGCTCTGGACACTATGTCCTCTTTAAGCAGCCTGTACTGTAGTCTTCATCTGAGTGAATTATCAGTCCCTGCAGCTCAGAACTATGTGGAAAATGTAATAACATTAAAAATGTTAAATTATTAGGGCTGCCAATTTAACATGCTAACTTAGTACAATTAATTAAAGAGATTCTGAGAAAAAAAAAAAAAACAATGGTAAAAGATTGCCTTAGAAATAGTGCAAAAGGACGCCAAAAACATGTTTTGTAGACTGCAAAATGGATTGCTGTGGATTGCAGGATGAAAGACTTATATTTAATAATATAAAATGACAATACAATATATTGACTTTTAAAGCCACTTTTTGTAAAGTCTGTTCAATGTTTTCAGCCGCAATGATATAATGACTGTGAATTATCTTCATTTGGAGGCTTTTCTCAGCAAATATTGATGCGTGCGATTAATTTGATTAATTAATAACATAATTACATGACATAATTAATTACTTGATATGCAGAATATTAATTAAGTACTTGCTATGCTAAATAATTATCAAATTAATCAAATGATGAACATTTTAATTGACTGGCAGCCCTAAAAATGACAAAAGAGCACATTTAAATTGCTGTCTGAACATGCAGTAAGTCCTTGATCTTCACTGAATTGGACACTAAATACTTCACTCACTATTGCCTTCTAAAGTTGACTAACCATTTCTGCTTTTGTATTAAGTGAAAAAAGAGAGAAAAAAAGCTCTATGAATCTTTAAAAAATGCTAACAAGCTAAATTGGGTTGTAAAGCAAAATAGATAATTCTGACATTAAATTCTGTTTGGATGAGCCATGTTTGAAGCAGTTACAATATAAAGTGATACTAATTAGAAAATCAATGTCAAAGCCTTTTAAGCACAAATTTACAATACAGATAAATTTCAAGGTTTAGGTTTTAATCAAAACAATGAATTTCTACGATTCAGCGAACAAATTAAAATTCTGCATTAGATCTGTTCAACGAGTTCGGTGCAAATATTTTACATTTGCACACTGCTTCATGTATCAGCGTTGGTGTGAACAGGCCTTTAGTTTGTCAAGTGTGCCGAAACGTATAATTCATGCAAATCTCACCGCTGCCAAGCCTCATGAGCAGGACGTCCTGTAGGCGTCGATTGAAATCACGCAGCTCCTTGACTTCGGTCAGCAGACTGCCGTACTCCTTGAGCTTCTTGGCCTGCTGCAGCAGCTGCCTGCGTGTGCGCTCCAGTTCCTGCTGCAGGCGTCTCATTTCCTCTTCCTGCTGCCTGTAGCTGTGCACCAGCTCCTCATACAGGACGCGAGGCACCACGGCCTCGTCCTGCTCTTCCTCTTCCTCTGTTGTGAGTCTGTCCAGCTCCTCTCCCTCAGTGCAGGAGTTGACAGCGTTCCTCTCCAGCCGTGCCACCACAGCAGCCAGGCTCTTTGAGGAGTTGGAACTGGCCCTCTGCTGTTCCTGTGACTGGACCTGCACAACAACATTCAGCATCTTGACCAGTGCACATTGCGTACAATTAAATAATAATATACTGTTTTTGTTTTTGGATATCGATCTACCTTTCTCCAGAGATTTTAAGTTTTAACTCGCACACCTAATGAGAATTTTTCAGTTCACAAAGATCCACATAGATTTAAAGAGCTAATTTCATAAGTAATCTAAATTTCCTTGATCTTTTCAATTCACTGAAAATGAACAGCACAGCACTGTGATGTCACATGAATGCATGGACACATGACTCTCCAAACAGCTTCTCGCTTGTAGCTCATCGTTTTTTTGTTTTAATGTGTGTGTGTATATATCTTTTTAAATGTATTACTATAGATTATAAATAACAAATAATCTACTCCACTTTCCCCAGTGGATTAAAATGTTAACGTTAAGTGATGAGGTTAAACTTTGATGTTTAGATGAAATCTGTTTCTACTATCCAAATTTGTAGGGCAGAGTTCACCAAACTTGAACTTTAGTACACAAAATCCTACTCATATGCTTGCATTCACATGGGTATGAATGGAGGAACACAACATCTCGTGTGACTTTCCTTTTATAGCATGGTTGGAAGGAAACTGTTGGAAGAAAATAGAACTCGAAAAGCTGGACTGCTTTATAATGATCAAACAGTATCAATACACATGATAATACCTACTGATTTTATTGTATAAAATTAAAACTAATAAAACTGATAACTAAAAAAAATCCCTTATGGGCCAAAACATTGCTATCCTTTTAAGATTTAATAAATGTCACTGTAAGAGCTGAACTGGCTCAAGAAAATTCAGTTCTGTGCTGAACCAGCTCATATGTTCTGTGAAATGAAAACTAACCAACTCAGTTTATATTAAACACACTAAGTAATTAGGGTGTGAACTGCAAGAGCACACAAAAGTGAGTTGTAAACTTTAACGGACTGTACAATTAAGAAGACATGGCATTAAAAAAAAACACAACAAGCCCATGAGTGAAACACATGGCCTTTCTGGTATCTAGCTAAAACTGCCAGATTAAACACAACAGGCTTGAAACGTTTGAAATGTCAGGACAAATTCCGCAAGCGTCAAAACATGTTTGAGTATTTTGACTTGCTTTGCTTGCGGACTATAAAATACACTCTTAATATCAGTAAAAAATCCCTGTTGAGCCATTCTTGATCTGTCCACATGTTCCCCATCTACAAATCCAGACCAGTAGCAGCACGCCTGCAAATGTCTTACAGTCTCCCAAATCTTAAAACCTTTCTTAAAAACATGTATACCGACCTTTTTATGTCTAAGGGGCACTCTCTCCTCGCCAAAATGATTCTCCACTGTGTTCCTGTTCGACATCTTGGGTATTTTCATCTTCTTTTGCATAATACTGTGCTCAAATTCCTCAATGCTTTCTAAAAAAAAAGAGGAGGGGAAACAAGTGAGAGACGCAAATATTTCATCTCTTTGCTCTGGAATGATGATACAGTTAAAACAAGGACACATCAGCAAGAGAAACATTTTATGAGTTTGGTGGAGAATCTTCCCAGTAACCTTGTAATGACACAGATGACTAGCTATTGTTGCAATAAACTATTAATGGAGCGTTTAACTTTGCAGAGTGACGTTGACTGTGCAGCATCAATATGATTTTGACAGGCGGGGTCGTCACAGCTGTCAACGCGTGATGAAGTGTCAAGTACCCAAGGCCACTTGGAGAAGACGGACCATATAAATGTGCCTACCTAACCCCTTATCATGTCAAGTGGAAAATGCCCTCAATCATCATTCTAAGATCTTGAATGTTAGCTATGTATTAAAAGTTCTACATTGGCCAGGTATGAGAGATGAGCCTCAAGGTCGGCCACAACAGATTGCAGACCGCTTAAGTTGAAGCAACTATTTAAAAGCTGTACTGGACTCCAGACTTCTGTTCCCTAAAGAGATCAGGGTTGTAAGACCAGGTTGAGCCACACATGCAGATTAGTAATGTATCTAAATAGACCTGGTTGAAGAGTGGCAGGAGTGAAAGTGGTTGGAGGTTTTTATAACTTGAGCTGAAGCAGGAAGTGTCACATGATAACAGATGTGCCACCAGCACTGATTTAAACCACACATAATACTCTGACAAGTTATAATTTAACAGTATAATATGCTGACGTAAGGTTTGAAGCAAATTGAAGGGCGTAAAAATAAAAACGACAAAATATGCCTTACCTGGCTAGCTAATGTGATGACAGTAACCTAACGTTAGCTGCTAGAGTTAAAAACGACAAACGTACACTTTTTGGTTATCATATCTGCTTTTCAGTATCTTTATTAGTTTAAAAAGACTGTTACAGTGGTTTTATTCGCGTTTAAGCTCTTATGCACCGCCGATAAATGAAGGAAGCGTTAGCAGCAGGCTAACAATCGCTTAGCATCCTGAGCCTCTCTCTGCTTTAAACCCCTCTTATCTTTCGTTTCTACTTTCACGAACTTATTCAGACGTTTTCGACACGCGTTTCCTTTAGTTTATATTCAGATTGCTGGGCTTGTCAAGCACAGACACTAGTACATCTCTCTGTAACACAAACCCCGCAATCACGATGAGCTAAAAACACCAGAACAATCAAGAAGACATCAAACCTATGACATATTCTCCGTCTACATCCATTTATCACATCAAACACTCAGGTTATATCATTAATCTTCTCTTAACACCCCAATGCATGCGTGTTAAAGCATGTTCATGCAGCTCATGTCAAATTAAAAGGATCATTTGTGTGGTAACTTCATATTACGCCATAAATATAATATAATGCTTCACAGATGATGTTTCATGCTCATGCAAATAAGAAAATATGATTTATATCAAAGTTGCATGACATTTCAGATGATCCGTTAAGCTGTTATATACCGTAGCGTTCTGTTATTTATGGAGGTTATTATTATAACGTTAACGTAGTTAATAAGAAGAGAAGAGCAGAACTCACCTGCCAGGGCGAGGATGTGTGCTTTGGCAGGCTGGCCTGCGCCTCTCAGCACCACATACACCTTCTGATCATCAAAATCTATTTTGTGCACAGGCTGGAAATCTTTCACGTCTGACACAGGTAACGCATAGCACATATCGTCCTCCAAGAAACGCACGAAAGCGTACATTATTTTTGCTCTTTGGTCCCTGATCTTTGGGATAGGCTTGACAGTTTCCCTCAAAAAAGATATAAAAAAACACATATAAACACAAAGAGGGGGGAGACAGTGGGGAGGCCTCTGCGATCGACTGCTTCCGTCTGGCTGGTGCGTATCAGTTGAGGAAATGCAGAGCCTGGTCGCCACAGACTGTACTAATCAAAACAGATGTGACGAGAGGTTTATTTTGGGGGTTAAAATGTAGTTTGCCCTTAATTATAAAAATAAATAAATAGTAATAGAAATGAATGAACAATATTTGAGAGAAATAGGCCTTTTGTGTACATAGAAAAAGTCTTAGATCTTTGAGTTCAGCTCATGAAAAATGGGGGCAAAAACAAAAGTGTTGCGTTTATAATTTTGTTCAGTATATATATACATACATATATATATATATATATATATATATAGCCAATAAAAGTCCAGAATTGTGTGTAATATCAGATGTTGTGTATGTGTTACCACTTTTGAGCTGTTTAGTCACAGAAGCCAGTGCTTAATTTGAGCTGGATCCTGTTCTGGAAAATGTCAGATTTTGAATTTTTGCGTTCCGGTAGGCCTATTTGTTTTTAAAAAT